CAGGATCGTAAGCCTTCATGTGGTTTGATGAGTTTTCACAGAGGCCTTCTACGAGTTTCTGGACAAAAATGAGGGCGTTATCCTGGTTTAAAGTTGACTCTGTGGTTCTTGGGTGTTTTGTTTTGGTAGCCTCTCCAAATTGGGGATATGGCTTTTCAAAAAGATATCTTGTTTAGCATCGTTTCCGGTTTTTTTGTTGGTTCCTACACCCTCCTCAACCTTATCAACCCTCACAAATCAACCAAAAGCCCCCGAAGCCTCCAACCCCGAACCAAGGCCGAGGAGTTCACTTCTACACCTAAGAGTGATAGGGTCTTGTTCAGGGTGTCGAAAGCCTCGTGAAGTCGAGAGTACCCTGCGCCGTAAGCCGCTTGTAAGCCCAAGGCTGGACAGGTCTAGGGTTTAGGGTTCGAGGTTTTAGGATTCGGGGTTTAGGCCTTAGAGTCGAAAAGTTTAGGGTTTACGGTTTAGAGAATCTCAAACCCTCTGGGAAAGCCTTGCACGTGCGTGTGGCAAGCGTGTGAAACTCTTGTAGAATGCCTGATAGAGCCCTTTTAGAAGTCTGCAAGCTGCAAAACCTCAACCTCAAAGCCTTAACCCGGTACCCTGAACCCTAAACCAAAAAAGGTCGTAAGACAACATCGCAGCCTCCCCTCAAAAAGCAAAAACTACAACATCGAGAGGAGAAGGTCTCGAACCCCAACGCAGAAGCCTTCATCGAGCAGCTATGTGGCTCACCGTTCATTGGTTCACGGACCCGCAGGGATTCAGCGTTTAGGGGCTTAGGGGGTGTAGGGTCAAGAGGCAGGGATTGCAAAAGCTGTATCTGGGCTTTTTAGGCATGCACGGGGCTTCATCTGATGGGTGTGACTTGGCGAGGGTTTCCAGAGTTTCATAGGTTTTTCCAACCCAATACCTCTCTGGGGTTCGGGGTTCTCAACGCAAGGCTGTCGGGTTTTGGTTTCGGGGGTTTGGCGTTCGGGATGACGTTTGGGCGCTTTGGGGCTTACAGGTTCCATGGTGCGGTTTAGGCCAGGGCTGCTACAGGCTTTGTTGGTGTGAGGTCTTAGCTATGTAGCTTGGTCATTGCTTTTACCCATTGTGGCCACTGACTCGTAGCTATCCTGGCAGAATTCCATGGGCACGGAGGTCAGCAACGTCCGAACTACAGATTACGGAGATTTTTGCCGCAGCCCGAGGGAGAAGCAATAATGACGGCCACGGCAGATCCCTTGAACTTAAGACCCCTACCCCAAACACGAAACCCGAAATCCTAAACCGAAAAGCCAAAGCCCTACCTAAATGCTAACAAATATATATGACACCCTAAACTGGCCGTAAACCCTACTAAGATCCTAAAACCTTGGTCATCAGGCGTCGAGAAGATCCTCCAGGGTTGCCTGTGCCCTGGCGAAGCGAAGGTAAGGGCCGAAAAGATAGACGGTGTTGTGGCTTTTAGGCTTGCAGGGTCGGATTCTAGTTTTGGGGTTTAGGGTTTTCGAGATTTTGGGATAAGGGTCTTTAACTTAAGGGTTCGAGGGTTTCACAAAAGCTCTATAAGGGTGTTATGAGGCTTTTGTAGGGTTTGTGTTTTTTACGGTTTTCGGGTTCTGCAAGGGGTTCCTTGGATTAAGGATAGGTTAGAGGTGGGATACCTCACTCAGGGGTCCTTGTGAGAAGGATCCTTTCTTGCAATCTAGGGCCCAAAACCTATTCGCCACATGCATATGTGGATTTTGGGATCACTGCTTCGGGGATTTAAGGCTTGGGGCTGGGGTTCGGGGGGCTTGCGTCAATTATCAGACTGTGACGTTGGCATAAATAGGGACCTCCAGAACAACTGTTCGAACATGAGAAGCGTACGCTTAGGAGTCGTTGGCTCGATGTGCAGCGGAAGATGGAAGGGCCCAGAGAAGATCGTATTTCTGGTGCCACCCTAGCGCTGACGGCCGGGTTCGAAGGAGCGTAACCCATCCGACGGAGTCAGCAAGGGGCAGTTGGCACCTATCCACCCGCCCACCTACCCACTCACCCACTCATGCACGCATCAAGCAAACAGGGATCCTTTGCATCCTGTGTTGCATGCTTCGCGGCACAGCAGGTTTTATCCTTTAGATTGCGTGCGCGCAGGAGCCGGGTGAGCCAACAAGGTTGCAGCTCCCGTGCTTCCACCCGAGGGTGTTTGAAGCAATGCTGACTTTCCAGTGAGAAGAAGCGGGGCTGCAGCACGGATGCTGTGCATTCAGGACGTTTTACGGTTCCCGAGGCACCATGATTTCTATGGCCACACCACAGCCAAGTTTTATGGCAGACAGATGCAGCGCCGTGTGTGTTCTTCCAGGTTGTCCTTCTGGACGGGGCCGACCGTTGTGTGCCGCACGGTTCCCACACGTGCGCGCCACCTCAGAATGCCAGCAGTAGGGTCACCTGTAAATGGTGCTTGATTTGGTGACGAGCTGTCAACGTAAAACCTGTGAGACTGTTATCGTCGTGGTGTCGGAAAAGCATTTCAACACTAATACTGTCATGCACCCGGGTTTATCCGTAGATGTTTTCGAGATCGAGAGGCTTCTGGCCAGTGTTTGCCGAGAGAAGACAAGGACTACGTACGGTCATTTATGGCCATTTCTCGTTGTTTTTGCGATGTTTGACTACACGGGCTCAGCCGTGGAAATTTCGCCGTATGCGAAGTTCATCCTAGACGCGGCCGATTGTCGGGAGAAGGATCGGCGGCCAGACCCATGCCGCACAAGGCATCGTGGTCAGCCAGTTTGCCAACTCACGACGGATCAGTAGAGTTCCCGAAATAATGAGCCAAGCAGCGAGCCTTGAACCTCAAACCCTTCGGCCCACGCTCTTGAAACCTTTGCTTCCTTAAAGCCGTAAAGCAGCCGTAAAGCCCCTGTTGAACCCAAACTCCCTCGAAAGAAAAGCCCGCTGTGGCCCTGAAGGCCGCTCGAACAAATCTTCTTTTTGTGCTAAACTCCTCAAAAGCTGCAGTTCCTGAGACCCAAAGCCCGAAACCCTAAAACATTCCGAAAACATTGAACCTTAAACCCCCAAACCCGAGAACCCCCTCCAAGTTTTGTGGGCCACGTGAAGACGGACCTGGACTCCGTAGCCGGGGCCCTCGGTGCGGCTGCGCTTTGGCGAGGCAACGCACTTTAATGTGGGCACAACATAAAGGTTCAGATTTGGTGACAAAGGATCATCCGCCTGGTTTATATTTTTCATGTTGTAGAATGGTTTTAAGTGTTAAGGCTTTAGATCGCTTTTGAACGGTTTTGTGATTGGTGTCTGCGGCTTGGGGTGTTGGGTTTCAATTTTTTTTGGTGTTCAAGGTTTTGCAAAGATTTAAGATTTTTCGGCCGTATGATTGTGTTGCATCGTCTGGCAGCTTTAACTGCCGCATTGCGGTTCGCTATGTCAGTCAGTGTTTTTCGAACTCTTCGGTTCAAGCTTTGTAGTTTCCTGATTTTTGTAAAGACACCAGCATTTTGCTGAGCGTGTTGGCATATTCCCTCAATCGCACAAAGTTTTTACCCTAGAGCTTCAACGGCTTAAAGCTTAAACCGTGAGTCGCCTTAGTCTTCGTTGCAGGGGAAGGCAGAACTTCACGCATCAGCCTCGAATTCTAACAAGACCCTTGGGTTCGAGTCAAATCCCAAGCCCTCCACCTAGCCCCAAAACTGCAGTCCGACTACCTGCTTTGCACCGAAGACCCGAAATCGACACATAAGTCTCCCGACCGCAGGCAGTAGAGCCCGAATGGCAAAAGCCGCGCAGGCACTGCAGCGAGGGCTGAGAAGGAGCTGAACGGTGAGATCATGCAGCTTGGATAATGCAGCGATGTCATTCTAGTCACGGTAGTCAATGGGCCACCTCCGCTGCCGTCGGAGCCGCCGCAGCGACGGCGGCGAGCGCTCCGAGCTGTCGTCATCGTCGTAGCGGCAGCAGCGGTAGGAGTCAGCATTGGCAAGAGAAGCGTAGGATCCCGGGTTGGGGGTGCCGGAGCATTTGTGGCAGGAAGCTAGGCTTCGGGGCTTCGGCCCTAGACTCTAGACCGTCAACCACTAAAGCGCTAAGCCCTTCTCGCCGTCGTCCGTCTTTTTTCCCCTGGGGACCAGACGTCGTGGTGGGGGAAGCGCTGAACCCAAGATGCTCGATGCCGTACACGCTCCGCCGTTATCCATGAAGGTAATGTCTACTGTAGGTCCATCCATGGTGCTGGCTGTAGGTCACGGTAAAGGTAGGTTTTCTGTTAATTGATGCAGGGGTGTGAACTTCACGTGCAAAATTTCTGTTCGCGGCCGTTTGAGATCTTTTCCAGACCACCGTTGCCGTTTGCTTCGAGTGTGGGCCTCTGCGTTCGAAGAGTTTCCACAGGGCACTGCTGGATCCAAAGACCTACATGCGACCCCTAAAGAACCTAAGGCTTACAGCCCTGAGCCGTGACCAGATTCCGAAGCGAGGAAGTCCGAAGCACTCAATCTCAAACCCCTAAACCTCCTATAAGCCCTGAAACTCGACAAATTCGAAAAACCCTGAGGATTCATTCCTGAAAACCTAGCAGCCTTAAACAACATTTTGTCCTGCGAACCTTAAGAACCCTGAACCCCTAATCCGGATTCTGATGATATCTCGAGGTATGCGCTGAAGTGGGCCGGGATCCAGCATCTTGGGACGCAAGAGTGCTTAAACTTCGGGGCTTAGGGGCCTAAAGATGGTTTCGCGTTCAGGGTTTCCCAACACGTTTTACTGTGGTATCCGTAGAATGTATACGGTGGTTGTTAAAACTGCAAACAAACACAGACAACGTCGTTTCGGGGTCGCTGCGATCCGAGCCCCTTGTTTCTGAAGCTTTAGGAATGCCCTAAAGGTTCATGCAAGGACCCCACCATCCCTGGAGCCTTGCTGTGTTTCCATCATGAGCATCACCACCACCAGGGCCATGGCCATGATATGAGAATTCTCAAGAGCAAAGGGAGAGTCGGCCGAGGATGCCACCCTACTTTGACGACATCCCTGGTGCGGTCAAGCCGAACGACAAAGGGGCGCCAGGGCTGCATCGAGGGCCTTTAGCTGTTCCTGGCCGCTGCTTTGATGAACGGATGCTGTTTCGTCAATAAGAAAAGTGCTTGTTGACGAAGTTGACTCCATTCAACTGCTTCTTTGATTGAGGGATGACTGGGGTCGAGGATTTAGGGTTCCAGTTTCAGGGTGAAGGCCAATCAGGCATGAATTTAGGTTGCAATGTTGAGCTCCCTGCAAGATAGGTTTCAGCAACCCCTAACCCGACATCATCTACACAGGAAATGCTATCCATCTGCCTCGTGGACCACAACGAGGCAGTGTGCGAATGGAAAGGGCCGTTTAGGTTTTAGGGTCAGGGTTTAGGGTTATCCTTTCGGATTTGGTTTTGACGTGCTGCTTGAAGCCCTTTCCATGATGCTTTTAATATCAATGCAGGTTTTTTTGTTCCTGCCGTCAGTACCTCGGAGCAGTTTCATGAGGCCGAAACTGTAACTGGACACGGAGCCATGTAGTCCATGTCTGTCACACAAAGAACTTGAAGAAAGAAACAAAGAAATGAGTAAATACATCAATCCGTAAATAAACGACAATACACAATGATGCATACACGTAGTCGGCATGCATTCATGTTCAGACGAGCCCACAAATGCATCACAGACTCATTTACAGGATTCTTGAGAAGCGGTGGTGCCATCAAGCCTCAAGTTAGACCTCTGCAGGACAAGCAGATGGTCCCTGTGCTGCGAGACGATCCGGCATCTTGGCTTTGCTCATATCGGCAGGTCTAAGGGGGCTCGGGGCCTCGACAACCACGACAGCGCCCTTCGGCTCACACTTCTGCCCTAGCCCTTAAACGCCCGAAGCCCCAAACCCCGACCGCACCCTCATAGAACCTTCGCAGAACCCTTGCAGAGAATTTCTTGGCTCAGAATCGGAAGAAGCGCATCGTTGGCCTCATCGACCACCACGCCTTGGCGGAGTCCATGGCTTCAGAGACGCCTGAGCCGCATAATCCGGGCTTAACAGGCCTTGATAAGGGCATGATTATGCCATAACCAGGGCTTAGTATGGCCCAAACAAGGGGCCCGTGTTGGCTTTGAGAGTGGCTTAATGACCCTTTTGGGAGGGCTCGACGCTTTGCAGGGCTGGTGTATGGTGCTTTCGAGGGTTCTATAATAGGTGTTTTAAAGAGCTTGGTCTTGCAGGCTTTGCGAGAGCTTTGCAGGCGTTTAGAAGGGCTCGAAGATTTCTGGGCTTTATTTGGTCCCAATAGGGATTCGAAAGGGTTGAAGAGGGCTTCAAAGGTACTAGGTAGTTTAACGGACGCCAGATGTGATGCCGAAAACCAGATCGTTCGGTTCCTGTGGCCCAAGTCTTTAACTCCGAACCCTATTCTCCACATGCTTCGTCCTAAACGCTGCAGGTACGTTAGCCCCAAACCACAACCCAGACCTACGCCCCACAGCCGCAGACCCGCCGAAAGGAAGCCTCTCGTCATACCCAAAGTTCACCCCGAACTCAAGAAGCCCCGAAGCCCTTAAAGTGTGAAGTGTTGAGGAAGCCTTTCTTCGCCCTTGCCCCAAGGCCTCAAGAAAAGAGAGCCCTCAAAGGAATACTCAACTGAACCCCTGATCGCATCGATATAAAAGCCCGTGGAGGGACCCTTAAAGGCAGCCCCTGACAGGAATCCCCACCAAAAAAAAAAGCCACTGAAGCTATTGAAGTGTTCAGGAAGCCTCTCTTCATGGACGTCCGACCCTGGGGTTCGATGAGCAGCATCATCGCCCACTCTTTTATCCGATCCTTGGGCTCTTTTTACCGGTGTCGGTAGGGCCTCTTTCGGGTTTGGGTTTTCTTGATCTAGGGGGCTGTTTAGGGGACTTTTTTCGTTGGGGGAGTGGGGAGGGGTGTGGTGGGCGTTGCTTCTGAAACTCCCCTGCTTTCTTTGTTTTTATGAAGGTTATGGTACGGCAAGAAGCGGCATCCCCCCTGAGAAGCAGAGGTGGGGTTGTAGTGTTCCCTCCAGGGCCTTTTTGTTGTTACAGGGTTCTGGAAGGGTTCAGGGATGTCTAGAAGCTTTTTGGGGGTTTAGGGTTTAGGATCTTAAGAGTGCTTCCTTGCAGCATTAGGGTGTGCGGGCTTTGCAGGGCTATCGGCTATAGGTGCTTGAGCATGTTGGGTTGAAGGAGTTTGTGGGGTTTGGAGCTTACTGTAGCGTTTTGGCAAGTTCGGCGTTTTAGGGTGCATGATGCAGGGTCTAGGGATAAGTGAGGGGGAAGGGCCTAAAGCTTGTGGGCGGGGTTCTTCTCTGACTTCGGGCTTACGGCTTTGAGTTTGGGCATTTCACAGCAGAGTTGAAGGTGAAGCTTCGGGTAAGTGTGACTTCGGGGTTTCGGAGCTTCCCGCTGAGAGTTTCTGAGCATTGACAGTTGGCAGGAAGTGCAGAGTTCAGGAAATGCCGGTCTCGTGTCAAGGTGCAAAGCCGAGGTCTCGTTCATCTGATGCGTATAGACGTCATTTGGGAAACTGCCGTGGGAACTCTTGAAGCTGGCGTGTCCCGAACCCTTGCATCGTTGAACACGGCTTTGCTTTGCCCTCACCCGTAAAACCCAAACCCAAGACTTACCTCGTTGCTGTCGGTATCGGGGAGATGCCGTTCGTGTCGGAGTTGCGTATGCTTAGCACCCACAGCAGCGAATCGTGCACGGAGAAAGCTCAGCTTTAGGCCTAAAGCCAAGTGCTTCAACGACTTCTTTGTGTTTTCTGTTGCAGGCCTCCTCCTGAAGCCCAAGCCATGTGGAATTGCCAGTTCACGACAGGGCCGAAAGAACCCAGACTCCCACAAACAGAGCCCCAAACCATTAAACCCACCCTCAACCTCAAAAGCTCAAACCGTCCGAATCCCTAACCCTGAGCTCCGCATCTCTCAGGAGGGAATCGCATGATCCCCAAGCCGATTGCACGGATTCTGCTCTCGGCAATCCTCTCTGACACCCTGAGACATGGCTTGTTCGATAGAGCAGCCGTTTAGCATTTACGATTTAGGGTTTCGAGCAGGCTTCAGATGGTGGGATTTGGCGGCGGGGCACGTCATGGTCTGCTGCCCTTCAAGGGCCATGTTAGCTTAGCGGAGGCTCCTTTCCGCCTTAGCCCTTGACCTCAATCCCTAGACCCAGAACGCTGCACGGGTGCGCAAACCCCAGGAACCTACAGAGCGTGACCACCACGAACGCAGACCGCTTCATCGTGACGGCAGCTTCGACTGGAACTCGCCAAGCTCAGTAGGATCAACAGTTAAAATGGGGCCCTAACTACTTGTCAATACTATCGTAGGGTGCCAGTTATAGTATCATATACCCGAATCCCCCTGTTTCAATCATGAAAGCTACCATATTTCCGAGGTTCTGGTTTGCAAACGTTTGTTTGTCATGTCATACGCCAGCTTGACTCCATGGCATTGCTAATGATTCAGGCCTCTACAGTGTGCGTGCGCTAGAACTTAATCCCAGATCAAGGGTTTGGGGTCAACGGGTGTGGGATGTGGGGCTTAGGGCCGTAGAAGCCGTGACGGTGAAGGGCTTGATACTTTCTTTTCGAGGAACACTCAAGAAAGTATCGTTGCACAAGTTTTGCAGCCGTCCCAAATCCAAAGCCTGTAGCCAGAGACCTGCCGAGTTGTTCAGTCTCATCTTGATGATCATGGCCGTATAAATGTTTACCACTACTCTCCTCACGAATATTTGTCACAGCTACTGTATCATGAGCACGAGCCGCAAAGTGCCGAGGCCCCAAACCTACAGCCTGTCATGTCAGACCTTCAAGCTTCAAGCCGCAGTTTCTTCATTGGTCGATATGGCTACCATACACCCTAAAGCCGTGACCTTTAAAACCTGACCCCAAACCCCGAAGCCTTAAAACCAAAGCCTAGGCCCTGAGCCCTAAAACCTAGAGAAACACCCCCCCCCAGTCTAACGGTGAAGGCCCCTAAGCCCTCAATCTACACTAAGCCCGACATCGGCTGTACATTGGACTCCGAGGTACTTTGCATCCTCGGGGAGTGCGAAGACCCGGATGAGCTGGCTCGGAAAATGCTCCTCGTCCTAGGGGTGTGTGTGCTTCAGGCCTTGGGTCCTTTGGGTCTATGGTCTAGGGCCTAGGTTTTGACGGTTTTACTGTTTAGGGTTTTATTTGGGGCTTTGGGGTTTGGGGTTCCTAATTTAATCCTGGCACGCAGGTAAGCAGTGGATCCTTTTGTCGGACCAGCTCAATCATGAAGAGTGCTACTTAATGGTGGCTTCAATTAACCCTCAACCCTAACCGCCCCTACTTACTTGTAGTCAAACCCCATGACCCCCCAGTTGAAAGGCCCCAAGCTTTCAACCCTCACCCAAAGCCCTGGACTGTCTTCACTGACGGCATTGGATCCGACATTAAGCGGCGTCGCCGAAGCATTTGGGAAGACACTAGATAGCACGGGACGAATTAAAGCCGGCCTGTCACCCAAATTTCATGCAAGCATCTCCCGCAAGAGCCCCGAAACCCCGAACCGTTTCAGTTCGAGAGTCGAATAGCAAGCGTTAGTGCTACCACTCGCGCCGCCCTTGGTTTCCTACTGATCAGTACTCCTTGTACCTCTGCCATTACCACGTGCAACCTTGTTGTCACAATCTCCGTTCAAACTGTAGCATTGATTCCCTGTTTGACCGTTCTACCGACTGTTTGTGATTCGTTGTCACGCGGTGCCAATTTTTCCATTCACTCAGGAATTTCATGCTGTGTTGGTGGTTCATTCTTTGGAGATGTGCATGCCTGTGTGTGCAAGCATGTGTGGTACCTGGGCATATGTCTATGTGTGTGATTGCTGGTCAGTTTGTCACTTCTTCATCTCGGTACTTTGCTTATTCATCCTCTGTGTTGTGTTGCTGCCATTGTTTGCTGCCGCTCTGCTGCTGCTGTTGTTCCTGTGGTTGTAGCTGTGGTGTCGACTCGCTGTGGCGGTAAACTCCGAAACCCGAAACGCCAGAAATCATAAAATATCCTGCAGCTCAAATTGCTCAGCACCCACACCACCTTCTGGCACTGGACACGAAAGACAGCACACCGAGGTTCAGGGCCAAGACGGAGTGGATCGTGGGCTCCATGAGCCGCAGAGATGCCTGTAGGATCAGTAAGAAGATTCCCTGAGCGTCCCCTGCCTCTCTGTATAATAGACATATAAGTACATATACGATAAACATAGGTGCATGCATATGTATGTTTATATGCACATAAATAATATACATGTGTGTGCTGCTGTCCATCCATACCCTTTATAAGTAAGTATGAACAATAGCATCCAAGCCCTATTCTGATGAATGCGTGAGGGCTTCCCAACCCCCGTATACAGATTGGGAGTTTTGGCTCGGCCATGCACAAAGGGTTGAATGCTTGCACTTCCGGGTGTCCTTTTTTAGGTTTTAGGTTGTCAAGTCGAGTATCTATTGAAACGGGGTTTTTGAAATTACATGAGAGTCCGTTTGGGGGGGTCTTAGACACTACACTGCAAACAAACTCAGGCAGACCTCCACATGTTTGTTTCTTTTCATTCATCTACGCATGTTTTACTCCCCGTCTATATGTGACGCATGTAGATCTTAATGCACAGCTTAGACTCTGCATTTGACACACACACACACAGAGAACTACAAACAGCTGCGAATGCATGCATGATGCCATAAGCAAGGGCTTACATGTACATCACCTGAGGAGGAAGATAATCATGTACTCGAAGAAGCACAGACAAGTTATTGCACCTGAAGCATGCTTGCGTGAATGATGGGGGGCCATTCATCTGCCCATGTGTTCATGCGTATATGTATGAACACAAGCACACGCACAGATACGTATGTTACATAAACGCATGCATGTATTCATGCATAAGCACTGCCCGGGACTATCACCCTTTCCACTCCTAAAATCCTCAACCCCGGAACCCCAAAGCCCTTATTTGCCAGCAACGATTTCAGGGCTGGGCGCCTACGAGATGACCCGAGGCAGGGTTTGAGGGCTTCGGGCTTAGAGTCAACATGCAGGGCAATGCGTTATTGGGGTTTAGTGCGCACTAAATGCACGATAATGAGTCGGACATGGGTTGAAAGGATTCTGGGTCGGGGGGTAGTTAGGGTCCAGACTACTTTAATTTGATGTGCTAAAGGTCTGGAACTTAACAAAGGCATGGGACGAGGAGGCCAGAACGGTTGAGTATGTAGGAGTCGAGTGTTCGGGCTCTATGATCAGTCAAGGAGGATGTGTGGTTTTGGGTTCGGGGAGTTTTGAGGTCTTTTACCTTCTTTAATCTAACCCCTTCCCCCTTCTACAAAAAGCAAGAAAACCCACACAGCTCTGCTTGCCCCTTGTTCGAGAGAAGATGTGAGCTGGGCCAAGCACGCAACAGCCAGCAGCTACATGCCAGTGCACAACACGAAAGGGAGGAACAAGGACTTGGCCGAGACGAAACTCCAAGCCCAACAGCTCTTCCATCGCGGTTGCGTGGAGGGTCCGAGTCAGAGATTTGGCTTAATCATCAACGGGATTGAAGCGAAACAGAAACGCAGGATGGAATGTTGAGTGTTCAAGAGAAAGCGTGCAGGGAGTACCGTAGCTTGATGCCCAAGCTGCCCTCGGGTCCTCAACACTGCTACAAGTAGGTCCGGAATCCCCAATCCAGGGCACAGCGTGCTGGTGCCTGGATTTGCGGCTCGCACCCGAACCTGAGCAAAGCAATGCAGATCTAGTCAATAACCAACCAGTTGCTAAAAGGCTGGAATATCCAAACTGTAAAGCTCGTACAGTGACTCGTATGGTACCTTTATAGCAATCTCTGTAACAATCGCAGTCTGAACCTGATGGCTTGTCCACCGTCGTCAGCCCTTGTGGTCGAACCAACGCTTGTACACAGACCCTTAGACTGCCTAAACCCAAAACCGCCAAATCTACGCGGCGGGGGTTTGGTACCCTATCACTGAGCCTACACCCTGCATCAGTGACTGAGCCGCCTCGAAGACAGCAGCGCGTGCAGGCGACCAGAAAGACTTCACTGCGAAAGGCTGGAAGGCGGGACTGGGCTTCCTGCTTTCGAAAGCTTTCCTTGTATTAGCTATTAGCATCAACTTCCGTTTTGGGTGCAGCGTGGTTGAGTTTGAGCTTCTCGGCCTGACACCTTAGCCTTTCTACTTTATAGGTTTTGCATACGGTGGTGTAGAGGTGTAGGGGAGTTTTCTGGGCCCTAGGACCTAAGACCAGCGAGGAGTAGACCCAAGGGACCATAGGAAGCAGCGACAAGACCGAGGGTTCCTACTAGGATATGACGACGAATCTCTGAATCCTAAACCCGGTTTGGGTGCAACCAAGCCAACCATGTAGTGAAAACGAACTACATGCGATCTCTCGTGAACAGTATCTCATGAGTTTTAGCTTGCGTAGCAGCACTCAAGCTGCTACTGGTGGCGGCCATTACTGGCACTAGTATCAGCATGCTTCGAAGCGTTACTTTGATGATGGTGGTGCTGACGGTGGTGCTGGTAGCAACTGTCGCTGCCACGGCAGCGGCATTTGTGCATTGTCGGCCTTGGACCACTTCAAAACAAAGCAATGAACAAGACGTTGTCATCGTCAAGGTTGGTGTCAGTGTTTGTCGCCATGTAAGGATTATATAGTCATCCCGACAGAGACGCCGCAAGTCGCAAGGTCTGAAACCCAAGCCTGAAAAGTCACGGCGCATCAACCTTGAAGCTTGAAGCTGCTGCAAGAGGCAAACCGTAAGGCTGCGCGAAGTCATGCGAGACATTGCAAACAGCTCCAAATCTCTCTGCAAAAATAGAAGGTACGAACTAAGCTCTCCAATCCGTCCAGACCCTGAACCCGAACCCTCATCCGTATCTCGGACCGATGAGGTGGGCATCGCAGTGCTGGAGGTCACCGACACGGAGCCGGTGCTGAAGGTGGCAGAGGAGCAGCTGCGGGAAGGTCCTTCGGGAACCGATAGAACAGAGCCTACTCTGAATCCTAAACCCTAAGCCTAAATCCTTTTAAAGCCCTACAAACCCTAAGCCCGAAAAACGACACAATCTAGAGACCTGCAAGACTTTCGTGTACTCGCAAGTAGCGTCGAGGAGCTTGGCCCTGCTTGAATGAAGTATCAGATGCAGGTTTGGAAAATCAGGGTTGAGGCTTCAGAGTTTCGGTTTGTGGTTTTTGAGGACACACGAGACGGGGGGTGGGGGGGGGTTGGGTTGAGGGTGCAGTTTCGATTTAGGTTTGGAGTCTAGTTTAGGGCTGGGTCCTCCGCCTGACGTCCGGCTGAGGCCCAAGCCCTTAGAACTGTAAGCACTAAGCCCTAAGCCTGAAGGAAGGAGCCTTCTTTCTTTTTGACTTGAGAGGAGCTTCTGATGGAACTGCGCATTCTCAAGGCAAGATCCTCAACGCTTGAGCTTGGAGTGCGGGTAAGACGGTACATGGCAGTATAGGGTTTCGGATTACAGGGTTTAGGGTTTGATGTGTTGAAGCGCAAGGCTTTCGGGCTTCAGGGTTTCAAGGTTTGGGGTTTTAGGTTGTGGGTCTCTCGGGGTTGTCTACTGGGTTTGCGTTTAGGCCCTGCGTTCACTTGTCCTAAGCGTTCTGTCTTGAGAGTCTGCCCTAAGTTCTAACCCCACCACGCTTAGCCCCAACTCCCATCACCTAAACCCTAGGCCCAAGCTTTTGAGTCTCAGACATCCACAATAAACCGCGCAAGCCCTTCAAAACAAACACGAAGCTGCGAAACCCCGAAGCGCTAAAGCCTCAAAGCCCTAAAGCTCTGAAGCCCCACCCGAAACCCCGAAAGCATTGATGAGCCCTTAACCCTAAGCCCTACCCAAAGCCCTGATTGGCGCAGAACAGAAAGAGGAAAGGGGGGGATCCTTGACTCGGATGAATTCCTCAATCCTAACCGCCCTTAAGCCTAGACTTCTGGGTTCAGGGTATATGGTGTTTGGTTGTCGGGGGGGTAGGGTTTCGGGTTTAGGATACCACGTCTAGAGTTTAGGGTTTCGCGTTCATGGTTGGGGTGAGTCGAGGTGGAGAAAGGAGCGCTCAAAGACGGCAAGCACGATCGACGGAAGGACCGTCAGGGGCTGGGGTGTTCAAGGGAGGACCTTACACCCTGAACTTCCTGAAGCCTCCAACCACAAACCCTCAAGGCTCACAGCCCCGAGAAGTTAACATGCGTGGACGATACCGTTGCGGAAAGTCCTCCCAGGCCAATCCTAAGCTCGAATCTAAGGGCTTTCTACTGTTTGGGGCTTGCGGTCTAGTCTGGGGCCGCAGGAGTTAGACTTTGCGTACCTCTTCGTGGTCGACGTCACCCAGCTCCTTGGACAAAAGGGAAGGATCTTTCCTGTGCTTTACAAGGGCTTGAGTTTGTAGGGTTTTTGGGCGTTTCGGGTTTCCACTCAATCGGCTTCACGGGTTCGTGGCTTTGGATTTTAGAATTTGAGTGCAACTGTTTGGGGTTGAGGGTTATGGGTAGGGATCGTTCCCTTGAAGATAGAAGCAGAGCGCGTCCAGAACAGGATACTACACCTGTCAACAGGGATGCTACCGGCATGAGACTACAATCGTAGACTTACCTGCCCTGTGGAGGGTTCGCCAAAGCAGGGGTCCGCTGTTCAGTAGGCGTATCCCGATAGAATTCCTTGTAAAATTCATGAATTATGGCGCAGCACATCCCCTATTCTAACATGAAGGCCGCTAGATCGTGAAGTTCTGGGCTTCTGCACTTGCTCGTCTGCAAAATCCGAGGCCCGAGCAATGATGCATAATTACAGGACAAGCCCCAAAGCTCAAGCTCTGCGCCCGAAGCCGAACCCTGGAGCTATGAACTGGCTATGAACCGTGAAGCCCAAACCCCGCATGCCAAGCTCTGCTTCCTTTTCTCGACGTTTTCGAGCTCTTGACCCCCCCCGCTCCGCCCCAAGGCCAAGCTCAGAGGCTCCAACGGACTTTCTGAACTCTTCGCTTGACACGTCGAGCCTCGAGGTTTAGGATTTCGGGCGTAGGGTTTAGGTTTGAGGGTTCCCCTAAACCCTAAACCCTAAACCTTTAGACGCAGCCCTGGAATCCTGTGACCTTCGAGGCAAAAGTCGCTTCTCCTCGTCGCCGGCGGTCGCGAGCTGGCTTTGGAGACTCGGTTAGTAATGGTACTCGCATTCCCAATTCCCTAGGGTCCCTATCATGATCACACTATGCTCCACCTTTTGGCCTTATTCTTCTGATTAAGCTGTTGTTTGATTTTTTCGGTTTAGGATTTCGGGCTTGTCAGAGCTTTCAAGTTTTGCCAAGGGTGCACGGCTTTGGGGCTTTAAGGTTTAGGGTCGAGGGCTGAGAAGTATTCGCTTACCCCGAAAGCATAGCCGACATGAAAGCCGCCCCGGAAGCCAAAGATCTGACACATGCACTCTGACCTTTGCCCAAAACTTCTAAATCCCGATCCGTAAACACGAGAGTGCATTGCACCTGTGAGCCGTAAACGTAAACCCTAAGCATCTCTGAACCGTAGTTCCATGCAAGGCGAAAGCGGCCTTCCCTGGCAAGGAGACGCGTGAGGCGGCTTCGTGGGGATGTAGTGACTTGGGGCAGCCGGGTTAGGACCTGAGGCTTCGTAGTCAGTAATGGGTGGGGCCCCAAGTGGCAAGCTTGCTGAGCTTAGATTTCGAGTTGGCACCCCGGGCCTGTAGGCTGTACGTTCCAGCAGCAGGTATGGGCTGAGCTTGTGCCTAGAACTAGAACACCGGGGGATCCTGGCAAGTTATATGCAACTTTCCTCGTGGTAGAGGCCCCATTGAGTAGTCGCAAGTGATTAGCAGTTTTAGGACCTGACAGCTGTAGAACGATTGCTGCGTTGTCACCTGACTTCAACACGTTAGGGTATTTGGGTCTCGTATGTTGTTGCTGAGAGAAACCTGAGCCGCATCCAGTGCATCCTTCCCCACTTGCCAATCTGGGCCCACCCAGCAATACCCCGTTTGTTCTGGGACCTCCTTGTTAAAATTGAATAAAAGATAAAGGATACCCTGTTGTCCAGCGAATATGGGGGAACCTAGCAACGCAGAAGGCTCCAACCACCTGGACCGTCGGAGGAAAAGCAAAGAGACAATTGCAAAGGCCCCCGTGGGGTTGCAGGGTGTTAGGGGACGCTGCGATACTGCCTGCCCATTGCTGAAAACATGCCCAAACTCCCGTAGGTTACAAGGCTGTTAGAGGGGGCTTAAGGTACTGCAAGATTGCACCAGCCCCTCGAACCCCAAACAGAGAAAAGCCGTGCTCCCTTGAATCAAATCCCACATAAATCCCTCAAAGCCATAAGGCCCGAAACTGGAACTGGCAAGGCCAAACCGGGTATCCGCGCCCCTGGCGCTACCATCAAAGCCCACGAGACGCTAATGGATGTTGGAGGCGGAGGGACCCCAAACCCTAAACCGGAACCCTAAACCCTTGTGGCGGGACGATCGTGCGAGAGCGAAAGTCCGTTGTACCCCAAAACCCTTTCCTCAAGGAGGGAACCCGGGCTCGAGCCCTAAGATGCTGAGGCCCTAGACCCTGAACGGGAATCGCCGATTCAAGGTCCTCCGCTCTTTGAGGCCCTTTTCGCAGGCTCTGTAGCTCTTTGCCTTAAGGCATGGTGAGTACACCCTCGGACTCAATTTCCACTTGTATTCAAGGCGCATAGAAGCACTTAGTCATCATCTTACGTCCCTGAGCCCTCACCGGGTTTGGGTTGAGGTTTGTTGCCCCCCCCCCAAATCGTCCCTGCCGGAGCCAGAGAGTGTCACGACAGGCATCGTCTCTCGAAAAGCGCAGTTCGTTCCGGCGTTCCTGTCGGCACTCAACGATGGTGAGAGCCCCGGGATGCTCTTGCCAAACCCTACCTTCCTAAACCCTCAAGTCCTATATTCGCAGAGGTCCTAACAGCAAGACAGAACATACATACATGCATACATACGGACATACATAGATACGCACATGCACACACTCACACACCCACAGCAAGCATAGAAAGCATACATGCACTATGGGTGGTAGTAATACTTGAACCAGGACGGTCATCATCACACTCGGAATAGGAGAGCTACTTTCAAGGGCTCCACGAAGAGTCTTGAATGACAGGTTCCACTGGCTAGGGTTTTGGCTTGGAACAATGGCGGAGATGCTCTGTTCACGGGTTCGGGTGGAGAAGTAATCCAGGCTTGGCCTCTCTGCAGTATCTCCAAAATCAAATCTCTCACCAGATGCAACCCTGAACCCTAAACCCTACACCCTGTCTTGAGCCTTGGATTCCGGTATTTGCGGTTTTGTCGGTGTTGTAGGATTGGAGGGCTCGCGTGGTTTACAGGCTGGGGAGTTCGATTGTACGGATTCGGGGCGTTCGGATTTTAGACATTATAGATGTAGGATTGGGGTTTTAGAATATGGTATTGAGGTTGAATTTAAGGTTTTAGGATTTAGTGGCTATGGCCTGACATCCGAAGCATACGTTGCACCCCAGAACCCCAGCCTGTCTCATCTTTTGAGTTCTTCTGAGTTCTACATCCTAAACCCTAAACCTCCAACCCCAAGCTCAAAACCCCAATCCCCAAACTCCATATCGGAAAGACGAAAACCTTAAACCCTCAACCGAAGCGTGAACTCCGAGCCCAGACTTTTATGTGTCATAGCTTGGGCACTGAAGCCGAAGACCAGGGTTCCCCAAGACGGATGCCGGGTCTTCTGAGCCTTTCTTTTGCTTCAGGGCTTTAGAAGTTAGAGAGTTCTTTTACAAGGGACTTAGAGTGTAGGGTCTACACTCCCTACAGAGGTAAAGAATGAGCCCATCGCCCGAAATGGAGAAGTGTAGGTCTTGAATCCCTGAATAAATTGAAAGCCCTCAAACTCATAAACCATGTGCACCACCATGTATAGGACTTTAAACCATGATGAGCACCTCTCTTCAAGCTCTCAGACCACTATCATAGAAACCAGAAAGCTTTTGCAGGACCCTTATAAAAAATAAGGCGCAGCAATAAGACGACCCTAAGTTCAGAAGTCCCGACGAGGTTTCACCTGCCACAAGCAGCCTAACAGCACCATCCCGGAAGAGATCGCAGGACTCAGAAGCCTGAAAAGCAGCATTGCTTGGTTTAAGGGTTGTTTAGGGTTAGGTTCAGGGTTTAGGAGTTAAGGGTTAGAGGTTTCGGACTGTGGGGGTTCAGGGGTTTACAGCTTGGGCGGGTTTGTTTTTTTTTTTTTGGCGGGTTTGGGGTTTAGCAGTGCAGGGATTTAGGGGTAGGCGGGAAGTGCAGACTCAGAGCACTGGCAGGAACCCGGGAGGAGGACGAGGTGCAAGCGGCCATTGACGCTATGCAGAAGGATCGCTCTTTTCCGTCGACTGAGCATGGTGGCCGGGGTGGGTTCAGAGGGTTGATGTCTCAAGGGACCCCAAGAACGCACTTCTCAGCCGCTGACGTGTTTGCTGTGGTTTTCTTTGTAACGAGTCTTGTAAGATGTAGTTAAGGCTGGTTTGTGTGCTATGGAGACGCAAAACCCCAAACCCTGAGCCAAAACCCTACGTGCCAAACACAGCCTAAACTGTGTTACTGGGCGGGGTGGGGTGCGACGGTTTTGCATGTGGCTCATACAGTGTCCGCTTCTAGTCCCCATATATAGCCATACCAGACCGTACATCCCAGCTGTTTTCTTTTGCCAAGCGGTTTCGAATATGACAATGGGATTGCGCCCTCAGGCTCTCTGCCCCCGGACCGGCCCAACCCTCAACCCCAGATCTAGGCCTGAACCCGTTTTGGATCTGGGGGTTTAGGGTTTGGGGATTTAACGGCGACGCTCGTGAGCCAGGAGCCTTGATTCTCATGTGCCGATTTTGCATTGCCCCGGACGGGAAGCCCCTGAGCTTGACCCCATATACACTTCACCTTAGACTACGAGCCTTCGCAATCGACCAGGAGAGCTACCACGACTCCGTGACCGTCGTCCGTGACTACACTCGCTACAGGCGCATGAAGGGGGGCGCCCCTTGGGGGTCTGGTGCTGTTCTTAGGGGGTTGCAACAGGTACTGAAGGCTGTTTGTTGGGTTTTGGTTAAAGGCTTTGATTTTGCAGGAGTTTGGTATCTTGGGTCTGAAGCCCGTGGGGTTGCCTTTCGCAGGGCACTTGTTTTTGTCGCGCAGGCTTCGAAGGGGCTTCCGCAACCGCCCCGAGTTTGGGTTTACAGTAGGGTTCGGGGTTCAATGTTTAGAAGCAGAGCCATTCCCTGGGTTTCGTAGTATGGGCCATGGGTCTAATATCTGGTACAGTCACCTGTAATCCCCCTTTGAGGGATGGAGCCCCAAAATTTCTTACAGTTCATTTGGTTTTATGGACTCTGGGCTGGAGGTCTGCAGATCCAAAGACACCACGAAAGACCGCACAAGCGCCTGGAGCCTTCAAGCAAACTCAGAAGAGCGATCAGAACAATGCCCTTAATAATACCTGGAAGAACCCGTAAGTATGCTCTACATATAAAGATAAAGAGGTCTTCCAAGCTTGAAGGCAGAAGCTGCGGCCCGTAATCCGAATCCTGGAGCCTGAACCCCCAACCCCGGAAACCATGAACTCCAACACGCCCCACAAACCCTGCAAACAACTTTCACCCTCTACCACGAGCCCTAAAGCGTACACCGCCGTACACCCCACGAAAAGCCAAGCTGGACCTGCAAAAGGAGTGCCCTCGACGGCGAGATCAAAGCCAGTGAGCAGAACGGCCAGTAACTAACAGAAGCCCTTAATGGTTTGGGATATGGAGTCTGACAGAAGCCCTTAAGGGTTTTGGGTATGGAGTCTAACAGAAGCCCTTAAGGGTTTTGGATATGGAGTGACGTGCTTCAAGATAGGCTCTGAGGGATTCAGTAAAAGGTTGCAGAGGTTTGGAGGCATGGGGTTTGAGGATTTGGCATGTCAGGTTAAGTCACCCCATCACACGATTCTGAAACGCTGATAAAACCATTTAAAGCCCTTAAGCAACACCATGTACAGGCCTGTACGCCATTAAAGCTGCATCCGGACTTATACAAGGAAAGCATACAGCAGGAACCCAGAACATTCAGCCGTTGCAGGCTACAGGGCGAGCCCTAAACCCCGACGCGAAAGCCCGAAGCCTGCAGAGAAGTAGACCCGCGCCCTACACCGCACTTCTCTGACGCCCAATCTTGCTTGGGCTTCTGGGGTTGTGGTTTCCGGACATTTTGTTTTTTTTTCTGAATTTGGGCCTACGGTTTCGGGTGTTTTAGGGTTTTGGCAAGGTCTTTGAGTTTGTGGTTAGGTTTGCCAGGACTGTTCGTAGAATCGGGGGCTTGGAACCTTAAACCCTCGCCGAGATGTGGCCTTTGGGTTAAAAACATGCCATTGTTCAGCTTTGACAATTCGATACAGTTTCGGGCAGTTTAGTGTCCTGCTTCATTCAGGGCTTAGGGCCCGGGCCTGGGGCCCGACAATTTTACGCCTTGCGGGCTGCATGGTGGCCAGCGGATTTGGGGTTGCGGTCTTGGAGGTTTTGGGTTTAAAGTTTCGTGGTGCAAGTTTGTAATGAAGCTTTTATGAGGGTTTCCGGGCATGGGAAGGTGCTCCTGTCGAGGTTGAGTCAAGCCATCGAAACCGGCAAGCCCGGGGTCGGACAAACAGATCATTTCAATCCCCTGCTCCTTGGGAACCCTAAACCCTGAACCCTAAACCCTGCAGAGCGCTTTGTTGTGTGCTTTGTGTTCGCATTCCAACCTCGTCGGACGCTCCGTTTGCGACCTTGCGCGTTGCCGCGAATGCGGCCGCGACAGGTGCCACTGCATCAATGGGAAAGCGAGTGGGCTGGGTTCATACTTTCAAGCTAGGCCACCACATCGCGGGGCAGATCGGACTCGAAATTAAGGATGTGTGCTTAAGTTGTTGGTCTGCTATTGATAATTGTGTGTGTGTGTGTGTGCGTGTAGGCTGCAAGATGCATCAGAATCATTTGGTGTTCAAGGCAAGGCCCATAACCTTCAAGCCTCAACCCGGAAAACTTCAAGGTGAGGGTTTCATGCTATCTAGAATCGGCCAGGTCAACTTGCAGACGGATGATGGCTGTACCGTTTGGGGGTTGGTTTAGGGTCTGGGGTGTTCTGGGTGTAGTTTACATAGGCCAGAGGCCCCACCTGGTCAAGAGGCAACATATAACGAAGTTCGAGTAAGCTCCAGGGTCAGGGTTGTTGGAAGTTTTAGTGTGTGATGTGTCTGCCAAAGGCCGGATTCGTGCACATGCTTGTTGTGGGACCGCATGCGATTTGCAGAAATTCATTCCATTGGGGCGTAAGCGTTAAGCCCACAAATCCGTGCACAACTTAAGCCTGAACCCTAAGACCAAAAACATGAAGCTCCAGCCGTTTGAGCCCACATGTTTTCCTCGTAGATGACGTTTTCCGTCTGGAAGCTCCGGGATGTGGGACCCACATGACCCGCTGGTACATCTTGAAAGCATCCCCGTCAAACCCAAACCTTTCAGCTGCCAAAATACTTGCAATCCCACAAAGGCCGCCTCTTTATCATATTTCCTTATGTATCCCTGGAAAAGCAGGTAGTTGGGGCGATTGAAGACTCATGCACGCAATACGTTCAACTTCACTCTTCTGAGGGTATTATGCATGTATCGTAAGTGTTTAAGTTCGTAGAGGGGATGATAATGGTTGAGGGTTTAGGGTGTTTGGTTTTAAGGGTGCTTAAGAGTGCTATTGAGGCTCTAGGTTAAGGGGTTGGGAAACCCCATCCCGAAAATTGGCAACCTGCACGAGAAGCTACTAAGCCCTAAGCTATAAAACCATTATACAGCACATTCAAGCCGCCATATCACAATATGTACAAGACTGTACAAGACGATGGATCCCCAGAGCTGTCCTGAGCTCCTGCTAAGGGTTCCCTTGTGGGAACTCTCCACCGGGGTGCTCTGTAAAACCTTGTAAACCTACCAAGCCCTGTCAGCGCTGTACGCTCCTTTTTTCCCTAAACCCCTGAGCTCCCGGAACGTCCCGCCTCGGTTTTCGGCCTCCGAATCGGAGCTCTGAGATCCGGGGATGCGGAAGCCAACGAAGCGCAGTGTTCCCTGGGCTCACGGCATTCAGAGTCTTGGGTTCTGTGACTTCCAAGCCGTGTAGACCCATTCAAGCGCCAACGAAGCCGGAATTCAAACCCTTAAACACGGGAATTTCAGTTAAAGGCCTGCGCCTCAAATACTAAGCCTTGAACTCATAAACCAGAGAATTGATTAAGGGTTTCAAGAATTAGGGGTTTGGGGCTTTAGCGCCTTCGGGATTTTTGGATGGGGATTTTAGGGCTTAGAGTTGTGTGATTAGTGCCCGGATTCTCTCCTCTAGACAGTATGGGCATGAGGTTAGCGACATCACAAGTGTCGGGCTTCTACATAAGTTAACGCAATGCTACCGCATACAGCTTACACCAACTCGGTGGCGGATTTCGGGAAGTCGCGGTAGGGTGCAGTTTGGGCCTGAGCCCGGAGCCTGAGATGGAATCAGAATCAAGATGGCTATTATGGGGCTTCGTAAGAACATGGCAGAAAAGCGGGGAAAGTTTTGGGGCAGTGAGTTGATGGGTAAGGAAAAGCTGTGGTCAAAACTACACCGGAAAATGCATTTCTCAAGTGACCCGGCCGGAAATTTTCGCCCGCTCTGACCTTAAGGCGCGTAAAAAAGAAAGTTCAATCAGTATCAATACCTTTTCCAATAAGTAAACCAAACAGCAAAAATAAAACTGTATTAAAGTAAGGTAATGGTTAAAATGGTCGAAACACAACAGTCGGTCAAGGAGCCAAGAATCATCAACCTCTGCAAACACCCCCCCATGAACCCAAAAGCCCGGAAGGCATACACTTGAGCCTATCCACCTTGGACTCTAACTATGCCGCGAACCCTCACGCTGCCATATCTCAGGCTAGCCCCCAGTGCTCGGAGAAATTGAAGGAAGCCTCCATCAGAAAGCACAAGCCTAGCCATGATCTGTCATGATCTCGCAGCGGCAGAGAAGAAAAGGGCTCAAAGTTTCGGGTTGAGGGGATTGGGTTCAGGGGCCGGGATTTCTGGGAGTTGTGCTTTTAGCGTACCGATGAAGACTATGTCGAACTCCAGTGGCTCCACGGTGCGTAGAATTAGACCCTGAACTCCATACTCAAAGCCTCGAGACCTGGCAGCAAAATCCTAAACTTAAAATCGTCAACCCCGAAACCCCAGAGTCCAAGAACCCAGCGAAGGCTAAGATCCTATCGGCCCGAGCAAAATCTGATCGCATCAGGCTTAGCACACGAAGCGCTCATCCCCACTCAGCCTTGTTTCAACACGTAGATACAAAGCACTCGCCCCACAAAGCTGCCCCAAATCTTGGGTTTCAAGCGGAACCAAAGTTCTGTGTTTAGGATGTCAGCTGTAAGATGTAAGGTGATTGGATTTGGAACTTCACGATGTATGGTTTAGGGCATTTAGGGTTTGGGCGCGATCCAAGGTTCAGGATTTAGGCATCAGAGTGAGGTCAGCATTACAGGAGTGATGACCGAGGGCGTGGCAGATAAAACAACCCTAACAGACACGATGTTCTGTTCAGTGTACTATAGTACTGTATAGTATATTATCTATAGTATAGCTATACTATATAACTATAGCAGCTTAAACCCTGAAGAAAAGCTTAAATCCCAAGCTCGGAGCCTAACATAAACGTCGCTGAGGAAGACGCTTGGCAGCTATGGTATCGGCAACATTGAGGCCTTGGGCTCTCGGCTGAAGGGGAGTTAGAGTCAACTCGGGGGAAAGTCCGAGTCCCAGGGCTTTGTTTTAGCCTTTGCATGTATCGTCGCTTGCTGATTTAGGTCTTTGAGATTTGAAGCCTGGGGTTTTGGGATTGTTGGTTGGAGCTCCGGGCCCTAAACCAAAACTCACGCTTTAGGGTTTAGGGTTTGGGGTTGGTTTTTGCGGGTCTCACTTTACATGTCTGGCAGCCTTGTGCATCGCATCGCGGATATGGACATGCCGCTGTTGCTGCGGTCTTTACGCGCGATGCCAGGCCGCGGCCCCCAAAAGATTCGGAGTAGTTGGACGTAGTGAGCCGGTTTAGGATTTTGAATTGCTGTCAGCCTTCACTCACAGGAGACTGAGTCAAGCTAGAAGCCTCGATACTTGGTAGTATCATCGTATCGTCAGACTCCAAAAAACCCTAGTGTAATTGTCGAGACCCCTGAAGCCATGCTTTGTGGTTTAAAGAAACCCTAGACCATTATCTTCCAGTGGTAGAGCGGCGCAAGAAGCCCTTGGCCCTTGCCACATCATGACCCCCTGAACCCCGAACGTTGAATCCTGCATTCCGTGCCATCCTAAATCCTACGCCTGAAGTTATCCCCTAAGTGCCGGAGGATCCTCTTCTCCACGTCATCCCTGCCGCCTGAGCCGGCTCTTACCTTTGCGTCCTTCAGCTAGTGTCCAGGCGAATCTCCCAAACCCCACCTTGCTTTGCGCACATGTTCAGGGCTTGGGGTTTAGGGTTCACGGTTGAGACTTTCTCAGGCACAAACCCTAAAGCTAATACCCTAAACTGTTTCGGCAGGCAGACTGCGGGTTCGGGAGGATGGCCCAATCTTTTATCGCCCTTGGCCCATTCCTGTCCGCAGCGAGCGCGACACCCGCAGTCAAAAGGCGACTTCAGTCGGAGCAGCTCAGGGGTTTCGGGGTCAAGTACATATTTGCTGG